ATTTATTTCGCAATGATTGAAATTATGTGCTAATTCAGTTATGTTAAAAATAAAGTCCTCATATGTGCACAGAAGTACATTATTACCTGCTCTTTTCATTTTTTGCAGTTTGACACCCCAACACAATCACCTGGCCACCCACTTGTATATTCTAACTACACCCTTGCACAAAAGAAAGGGAGAGAGCAACCTGGAAGAATAGACCATGCTAGCATTTTTTAGTTAAGCTGGCTCACTCCGTAGGAGGATGGCATGCAGTGGTGATGTCAACGAACTTGCCCTCAGGCTGCAAAGTACTCTCATGCCACAGCGACATCTCCATGATGGACAGCAGTTCCTTCTAGCGTTTGAGAAGTAAGATAGCTGTTGCGATAAGAAGGAAAAAATACTGCAACATTCTCACCTTCAGATCCACCCAACCCAGATGATCCGGTCATTTTGAGTTCATCAACACCTGCATCTCAGTGTCTGAGAAACCATCTTTCATAACAGGGTGTACTTGTTTTCATTGTCCTGGCTATGTAAAAAACCAAAAATGAGGTGACCTACTCTCTATTCTGGGCTTGAATATACTGTTCTAGGAAACAAGTTTAACTGGTGTAGATTCTTTGCCTTATGAGGAGGTTCTTTAAACTTTTATTTTATAAAAATAAATCTTTAAAAAGTCATTCATTGAATGGTTCTTTACTTTAAAACCAAAAGCAGTTCCTCTGTGGCATCACTTCAAAGAACGCTTTTGGAGTGTACAATAAAATTTTAAGGCTTGAAAATTCTTATTATGTATAGGTACTTATATGTCAGCCCTGTCACAACAAAACCTTTTATCTTCAAAATGTTAACTTAAAAACTCAAAACTCCAAAAACATTCTTAATTTTCAATTAACGTTAATGTAATAAGATTTTGTTCCAAGCGATTTTTGACCTTTTATATGATGGAATTTTAACATAAAGGGCAGTTGGCATATTCAAAACAAACAAACAAGCAAACAAACAAATAAATAAATAACAAAAATGGAGGTAGAAGGTATATATACAGTGCTGCGTGAAAGTTTGTAAACCCTTTATCATTTGGTGAATTTTCACATAAATTTAATTATTATTTAATTTTCTATTTAAAAAACATTAACCTGAGTCTTCATCATTAAAGTCTGGTCTTTACCACATACATTTGTTAGTGCATGCCATGTCTCAGTCAAAGGAGATTTATGAGGAAAATGATTTGCCAATGCTCATAAGTCTGGAAGAGTTTCCAAAACTACTGCTGACAGTTTTGGAATTCACTGATCCAGGTAGATATTGTACAAATGGAGGAAACCACCATTGTTAGCCTTCTCTAGAGTGGTCATCCAACAAAAATGACTCCAAGACTAAGGTATAGAACATTCTGGGAGATCATGAAGAACCCCAGGGTAACATCTGAGGATCTAAAGGCTTTTCTTACACTAATGTCAGTGTTCATGAGTCTACAATCAGGCAAACACTGAACAACATTAGTATGTATTGAATTATAGCATTATGGAGAAAACCACCATTCTACAGGAAGAACATTTCTACCTGTTTAATGTTTCCTAAAGATCACCTGAAATAATGTTACGTGGATGGATAAGGCAAAATGGATTTTCATGGCTTAAATAAGAGTTATATTTGGCAAAACCGAACACTACATTCCAGCATAAGAACCTCATTCCGACTATGAAACACGGTGGTGGCAGTATCACGGTTTAGGGATGTTTTGCTGCTGTTAGATAAGGACAGCCTATCATCGGAGCTATGATTTTTGGATTGTATCACAAAATTCTAGAGGAAAATGTTAGGGTATCCATCCGTACACTGAATCTTAACAGAAGGTGGGTCCTACAGAAAGACACTGACCCTTAAAACACCAGTTAGTCTCTGCAGAAGAAATGTTGCATTTTTGAATGGCTCAGTCAAAGTCCAGAACTTAATCCTATAGAAATGTTGAGGCAGAACCTAAGGTGTGGCATTCATGCAATAAAGCCCACCAACATAACAGGGCTGAAGCTGAACATGGCTGCTGTCCTTCACATTGTGTGAAAATTTCATGATGAATGGACCAATAGAAATGCTCCAAAATATCTTGGAATAAGGCCTCTTTTCATTAACTTGTATATATATATTTTTTTTTTAAATTTGCTTTCTCCTGTAAACTTACCAATTTGGAGATACATCTTTTTCTTTGGACAGCAACAATATATTTCATTGATGTACAACACACAGTGGTAGAAGCACAAATCGTCCCAATAAAATGTCTAGAATAACAAGTAAAAATGTACTTTAAACAGAGAAGAATTAGAAACAGTCAAATATAACAATCATGATGGCATTAACCTGTGAAAAACTGGCACATGAGTGATCCGGGAAGCATCGCCATGAATCGTGTTCTGTCAAGCGATAAGACATGGACATCTGTCTTGTGCCATAACTTCCAGATGAATGAGCGTAAACCATGAAATGACTGTGTACCTTCTTTGCAGGAGAGAACAGCGCAGTCAGTAAATGATAGCATCTAATTCAGTGACACGATTGTTTGCCTTAAACCAAGCGTGGCAAATCAGGTTATTCCATTCATGCAAAAGGATAAAAACTGAGGAGAATACTGGTTGGGTGAATTGTAAACACTGCATTTTATCATTTAATTAAACATCAGAGGCAAAGTTGTGCGTCACTGATGCTGCAAGGCCAAACGTGATCTGTTCTTGACCTCATTAGATCAGTCAGGAATATGACTGCTTTAAATCTTATGACTAAAATCACATTCAGTACACTTTTACATTGTGTACAGTGAGTACAAGATGATCTGCTAAAGGGGAACTCCACCAATTTTTCAAAATGTATACATAATTAAACGGTTAAGATATAAACAAAGTCGTTCAGAGTGGTTTGATGTGAATAGCTCCATTTTAGAGAAACTTACTGAGTCACAGTTGTTTACAGTGGTGGTGATAGGAACTAGACATCTGAAGCGTTTAATGCCTCTAAAAGCTCCCTCATGGAAATTAAATGGTTATTAATACATTGCCTGATGTCTGAGACATTGTTTTACAGTAGTTTTGTGTTAAAGTTTTCTGTCTGAAAAATATTTTAAACAATTTATTTTAATGCTTTTATAGTGGAGGGATACATAAAAGGCATTCAAAGGCAAAATAGTCCCCAAAGAAAACTTATTTTCTTAGACTGACCATAGTTTTACTATCATCAGCGTCACATAAAAATTTCATACGACGTGTAGGTTCACTGGTGGTTTTGGATAGTAAATGTTGTTTTCATTGTAAACGTCACGATTCCTGGTTCCTGTCACCACCTCTGTAAGTTTCTCTAGTAAAGAACCATTTCTCATATTTCATTCCTCGTTTTCCAATTCGAATGACATTGTAAACATTTAAATCACTGAATTATATAGAAATTTTAAAAGATCAGTGGAATTCCCCTTTAATTTCAGTCATTTTTCTAAAATTTTAATCTAAAAATCTGAGACTAGTAGTAGGATGGTTCTATTTTGCATTCATTTCTAATTTTTTGCAAAGTGTTTCATTACAATTGATGTTATCAGCATTACAGTTTGAATGAAAATTACAATCTTGAAATCTTAGCAGGAATTTCAGAATTTTTTTAGCATGCGATATCCCCCTTTTGCTTTAATGACAGCGTGCATTCAAACCTCTCCACAAGAGTTGTGCAAAAGCCTCTAAAGAGTAGATCAAAGCCACCTAAAAATCTAAACATGTCTTTCAATAGAAGGGATTAAAAGAAAAACCTGACCTCTGTGTCCAAATGTCACAAACGCCACAAATTTGCATGCATTTGAATGGTGACCTAGAAATAGTGCAGATTCCTGAATATTTCGTCATCATTGTATTTGTCATAACTTTTCTTTGTAAAATTCTAAAATGCTGTTTATTTCCAGGTTTAAATTAAGAAAATCCAGATTTTCAGTGTAGTCTCAGACTTTTTGACCCCACTGTAGATGTAAATTACTACCCAGATGTTGATGTTTTCTTTTTATCTAGAATAATACCTTTTTATTACCATATTTACTATTTATGGTGCCTTTAAATAAATTGAAGGCAGTTTCTTGATTCATTGAAATGCGAAGAAGGTGTTTTTTGTGTAGTTGGCAACCAACACAAAACCAGATGGTGAAGGAATAATAGGCTGACTAAAACACATGCAAAACATTCAGCATGTATTATTTTTGACAATACCTTGTAAGCAAATTTAGGTTTAATTATTTAAATATGCATGTCAGTTAAGTCACAAGATGTGTACGACTCATATTATTGACAAAATGTTAAGGCTAAGTGCAGATTTAGGAGCTTAATCTGTGATTCTGTTCATATAAAACGTTATGAAATCTGCAAGGCCAAATCTAAGCAAATATATGGCTAGCAAATTGCTAAGCTAGCATTTAGCACCAATAAAACTACAAAAGCAGTTGCATTTTGGTGCAAAATAAGACAAACTGAGAGAAACAAAAAGAACAACAAAAACAATAACAACGATAAAACTTAAAAGATTTATCATTTCTTTTTTATAGAAATTATGTTTTGTTGATTATGTAATGAGTTTATGTAGAAATGTAGAAATTTTGAAATCTATCTATCTTTTTTAGAGACTCTTAAAAAAAAAAAGCAACAGCATTTTTTTTTGTCCTACTTTTATTTGTAGTACCAACCAACTTTGGTAATTTAGCAAATACTGAGCATTAAAAATGCATCCTTAAGAAGTTCAGAGAATGCATATAACAAATAAATAGCACAGCGAAAGACAAATACAGCCTATTTTAAACAACAGGAAAATTACTACATACATAATCTTCTCACCACTTACTATAACACCATTTCTTTAAATAAAGCTTCTCGGATTCAATTGGCACATGTACTCAATAAATATTTTGTGTCCATATACATATACAGTTCAACATACATGTTTTGAGCTGGATGTTGACTTGCAGATGCATTTGAAAAAGAGGTCATCTCTGCCCATTTCTTCAGTTTTGTTTTCTGTTTTCTGAGATATTAGAAGAAAATAAAACTCTAAATTGGTGGTGAAACAGCATTAAATTCACTGCAAGTGAAATCTGGAATTACATTTCTGTGAAGCCTTCTCCTCTTCTTACTCAGAAGTAAGCATGTCCACATCTAGCAACTGGCATCAGCATCTAAACCAAACTCAAATGTCCAATATACTACTATAACTGTAAAAGAGTTTCTGCGTGGAATTATTTTACTGATGTAAAAGATCATTGTCTTTCCATTTCTGCACCAGTGATCATCAGGTTAGTTGAGCCCTTCTTTCTTCTCATTCCATAAACATGACGACACCAACCTCTTCCATCATCCTTCTGCTTCCCTTACTGTCTGGAAATGATGGTTTAGGTCATAGTGGAAGTCCAGGAGAACCTCTGTGACACAGTAGTCTTTTTTGATTATTTATTATAGAATTTTTAGTTTTTATGTATTATTTTTTTCATGAGGCTGGCTGTTTTTGTCATTTTGGGTGGAGTGCCCCTTTCAGTCTGCTTCTGGATTTGCTTTCAGGAGGTGAAGTAGGAGCTCTGCATGGAGTAGAGGCGATCGATGGGGTTTCCCATGCGGGCCTGCAGGGATCCTGTCTCTGAGGCAGCCATGAAGCAGTCACTCAGGCTAGTCAAAGACGTGTCACTGTCGATGTCATGGAAAATTGAGTCGTTTCCTACAGAGAAGGAAAAAAAGCAAAAGCAAACTTAGGAAGGGTTCAAGGTCTTGTTATTGCAATACAGATCAACAAAGCCAAGAAAAAACAAAAACAAAACAAATATAAAAACAAAACAAATATTATGGTTAAAGTATGCAGTGATTAAAAGATATATATATATATATATATATATATATATATATATATATATATATATATATTATGTGTGTGTGTGTGTGTGTGTGTGTTTATACACATATTTTTTTGCACACACCTTTGCACATTTTAGTGCAGAATGTCAGAATAAAACTTTGTATCCAAAGAAATTGATTTACTTTAATTTTATTTAATTAATTTAACATTAATTTAATTCATGTAAATTGTACATCAGAATGCATTTTTCATCCTTAACCTGAAGTTAAATGCTGCCAGATATTTGAACTCCCTCGCTCGTGTTAACATGAACATAGTTAGCCAGCATAAACGAACTGAAATAACTCATCAGAAATTATTTTACAACCGGTCCAAAAAAATGAAAGTGAGAGAGTAAACCAAGTGATGAGGAAGTTGTCTGCTGCAGGCTAACTAACTGGAGCTGAGCGTACGTGCAGCCGGGAGTGGAGGTGATGAAAGATTCTCACTCTGTGATATGTCAGGGTGGTAAGAGAGTGAGGGAAAACATGCTAAGATACAGGTTAGTATATTTTTGCCATTTTTGATTTAAGGATGACTTTAATGTTAAGTTACTGTGTAAAGATTTTATCCAAAGTAATTCTGGAGTATTTCTAATGGTCCCTAAATGCAATGTTGAGTTTTTAACTGCTTTACAAAAACACACCCGCATATGTTACCAAAAGAACTAAAAATCCAGAAAAACAGCTGCAGTTTATTTGGTAAAATCAGATCGTCCCAGCCAAACTTCCAGAGAAAACTTGGGTTTGCAGCAGCCATTTTCAGAGAACTGTTTTGTAACAGTAAAAACAGATGGGGTTTGCCACTAAACTTACATTAAAGCTAGACACTGTTCCAGCCACTTATCCTGGGGACACAGCGAGTAAAAGCCAATCGGTAATATTATTTTTCTGGTGTTTTATCCATTGACTGTGTACAACAAATCTGTGAGGCTGAAGTCAAGTTCGAATTTGCTTAATGTTTAAATTTTCCTGTTCCACCTTAAATGGTGCAGCAGTTGTGGTAAAATTCAAACAAGGCCTTTGATGCCAGACTGTAAGTGCTGCACCAGTTAAGGGAAATTCAGAAGAAGACTTCAACTTCATGAAAATCTACATATGTGCTAGACAACGTGAGCCTTACAAGGTACATGATGGCTCATGTCAAATGCTGATGGGGCATTTTAAACGGCTTTGGGGTGCTGACAAAAAAAGTTATTCAAACATTACTCAAAATGTTTGTCACACAGTTAAGCTTGCTGAATTAGATGATGGATATATTTATTATGATAATTCTGACAAAAGTTGTCATGATAAAGATCGTCCTAATAAGCTGCTAGTACAGCGTTAGCAAGATCAGGTTAGCTGAATGAAGTACATATGGAACGTGGAGAAGGCTGCTTTCTGGCAGAAAGCCCTGAAGGAAAACCTCTGTTTGCATATTCACAGATCCGTACATAGTCAATGAAAGCAAAGGTGTAGAGTTACATCTGAGCAACGTTTAAGGAATTAGGGTTTTTTTTTTCTGGGAAATAACATGATAATAATAATATGTAATGTTGATTAAAAGAAATGAGATTTTAGGAGTTTGATTAATGCCTGGAGAGGGTCTTTAACTTGCAACTTGTCAGAAGTAGCTGCAAGATGTCGTTATGAAAAGGCTGGGCTGGAATTTCCTTGTTTGCATGTGTTTTGTATATGCCTGTGTAAATGTATATTGCATGCATGTTCTGCTTACCATATGGATTCATGTGATCTCCAGGCATTTGTGGGGGAGTGAGCCCTTGCTGGAAAGGATCTGTGCTGTAGCCATTTGTGTCCATGGTCACAAGCTGCTGTTGTTGAGGCGGGGCGAGCGGTGTGTAGGAGGTCATCAGACTCTCCATTCTGCTTGATATCACCTCTACAATGCACAGACACAGACAGACATTAGAGGTCTACGCTCCAGTACAGGCTGCACTTTACTGTATAGGATTTACACAAAGTGCCACTGAGAACTTCTCTTCCGCACTGACGGAAAAAGCATGAGCTCTTAGGCTTTGTTCGCACAGCAGGACAAATCAGATTTGTTTCTTGTACTTTTTAGACCGACTGTTGAGATTTGTGAGTGACCAAATTTGTGATTTTTGGTCAGACTATGGCCGCATTTGCTGGCACATCCACATTAGTTGCTGCACATGTACATACACTGGACAAGAAAGGGCAAAACATAGCAAACCTAATGATGGTAACTAGCGAACAAATCAATCACGCTATATTTCACAACAACGTTTCACTTTTTATTAACGACAGCATGAACAGAACATAACAGCAACATAGGTCAGGGAACAGCAACATGCAGCTCCAGAGCCGCCTGAGGCTCTTTTACTGCCTTGTTTCGGCTCCACAGCAGAATCAGATTTTTAGGTAAAAATAATCTTCCTTTGCAGTACAATAAAGCTCAGCTGATCGCTAACTGCTAACACAGTTTTAACAATAAATGGTCTTAACTGCTGGAGTTAATGTATAACTGCTTATTCACCAACCTTTCCTGCCAGAGATGCAAGAAAAGCGGCTATAGCTGAGCTAAAGCTTAAAGCACAGCAAAGTAATTCTGCGTTTTTGTTTATATTATATATTTTTGCCTATGCTGGGACATTAGCACATACTGAGACATATTTACAGCCAAGATCATAATCGTTATTTCAATAAAATGGACATAAAATGCTATGCTATGCTCCCAAGGTTGTTTGATTTTTGTTGAAAGGACAAAATGGCTCTTCTTAATATTTGGGTTGCCAACCCCTGGAGTAGGTTGACCTTAATATGTTAGTCTATTGAAAGCTTCTGTCCTCTGTGTCTATGCTGTAATATGTGAGTATGCACCACTGACTTATGTTGCACATTCTGACGTTATGAACCAACGTGCGATTCATTCTTTTTTCCCTTTCGATATCCAGTGCAGCATTTTCTGCTAATATTGGTCTGACACCAACACACGTTGATATAAACATGCCATCTCTGATTTGCAGTACCATTTCATTTGTTTTTGTATTCAATGGAAAGTTGTGCTCACAATCATGGAAGATCACTATTAAAAGGAAAAAGTCTACATGTGTAAGTGCTCACCTTGTCCAAGTCTCTGCGAGTTCTGCTGCTCCTGTTGCTGCTGCTGTCGACGAGCCAACTTCTTCATCTAATAGAAAAAACAGACATTATTAGCAACTAGCACTTTTCTTCTTCACTGAAAATTTATGCAACAAAGTTAAATGTGAATGTGCTGGTGTGTGCTGACCTTAGCTCTCTGGTTCTGGAACCACACCTGGACCACTCTCACACTCAGTCCAGTTTCTGCTGCCAGAGTCTCCCTCACCTTTACCAAAAGAGATGAAAACTTGTTCATCTTAGGCACATTTTTCCTTCAGTTGTTGACCTTCTTAAATATTAGCAATCAAGATCTTAGAGAACAGCCACTGTGGGCTTTTGTAGACCTTAACGTGCCGACTTGACCTAACTGAACCTAAACAGAAAAACTAAGGCTTTGTTAGCAGTTAGTAAGATAGCTAGAGTTTCCGGCCTTGAGTCTCAAGGAGTTGGTCGAGGCCTCCCGGAATTATAAAAATTCAGTTTTTTAAATTTGTAGAAGTTTGCTAAACTTGCTAAACTTGCTATTTTCTTTTTCCTTTTTCCGAATTTAGTTGTGCCCAATTCCACGTCCGAACTAGGTCTCCCAAAGCCACCAAGGTGAAGGCAAGCTCATGGCTCCTCAAAGAAGTAAGCCACCACATCTTTTCGAACTGCCGCTAACACAGCGTCATTGGACAGCTCAGTGAGCTTGGAGCATAACTTTAATGGCTAATTCTGTTTTATCAGCTAAGTGAGTTGGAAAACATTGCTAACTGAGTAATGGAGAGTGATGCCAATTACACTGTCTTTGACTCCCAGCCACGGGTGGCTAACGCTAAAGATCAAACTTGCAATCTCCCAATAATACAAATGATTAGACAGTTCCACCGCTCGAGTGCCTCTACCTTGCTAATTCAATAAGACGCTAAGAGATTGTAATTACGGAGCTGGGGAGGAGCCCCCATTAGTAATACTAAAAAGGCAACCTTATGTAATGCTAACTGGCTGTGCTACTATTTAAGCATTTTGTTAAAACTATTTAATGTTCTTTATTCATTTCATTTGCAAGACTGACGTCTTACCTTCCTACAAGGTTTGGAGGAAACCTCAAAGGAGGCTTTGAAGGCACGACGCTGCTGTGTGGTAAGGATGGTACGGGGTCGTTTGGGCCTGCGAGAGTCTTTGCTATCATCACTGCCTTTGTTCTGCCCTCCAGAACCTTTCTCTGGCTTCGCATCCACATCCTCATCCTCGCTCTTATCTGCAGAAGATAAGTCGGTTACAATTCAATAGATATTACCTTTTATAAGACATAACAAAGCAGCCTCCTAGACTCTCAAGCAAGCTGCAGATGTTATTAGAAAGGAAAATCTCACTAAGGTGGCATAAAAGCAGAGATGCAAATGAGAAACCATACTACAGCATAGTAGAGTTATTTGCAAATGAGACAGGTGTGGAATTTTCATAACAGACATTAAAAGTAATAGAACCATTCATGGGACAAAGTAAGCTAGTCTCAAAAGAACATTCAAAGAACCAGCTTGATGACTCGACACAGAAGCGCTCAATAATTTCCTCTGGGTTTTACAAACTTAAACTTTTAAAATGAACTACTTTGTTTTTCTTTGATTGTGTTCTTTACATGTGAAAATGAATAAAATGAACAGGAAACAATGTGAAAACATTCATTACAGGCTTATTTGCTTTGTAATTTACAGCGGTATATAAAACCTGACCACAAATTAAGTTATAGAAGCACAATTAACTTGATTGAATTTCGCCTACTCATTTACACAGTGCTATAAATGTTGCTTTTACATGTTTATAGTATTTTCAAGTTGAATATACATTGTACTTTCTTATCTACTGAAATGAAATGTGGACTTTGCAAAGTTATGGCACATTATATATTTTAAGTTTTATTTTTTTTCCAAAATGTTAAAAGCATATAGACAGTGTGCATTAAAGTGTGCAAAAAATGTCATATTTAGGTTCCCTGCAGAAAGTGATTTTCACTTCTACAGAATTATACTGAATTAGTTAAAACTGTGGTCCTACAGTAAAAAAAAAATACTGAAAAAAACAATTAAATATTGAGACCTTAGATATTTACAAGGATTATATTATGATGTATATAAACTCAAGGCTATAATAGAGATAGAAATAAACAAAACATATCACTGCCGTTGGAACGAAACGTCATATCTCCATTTTTGTCATTTTCCAGTTTTGACCTAATTTTAAAGTATTTTGGTCCTATTTATTGTGTGTAAATTTCATGATGAATGGACCAACAGAAATGACTCAAAATTACTTTGAAAAAATTCTGGTTCCATTGACTTACATTAAAAGTAAAGGAGGTTTTTTTCCTTCTCCTGTTGAGTTTTTGTTTTGGAGATACGAGGTTTTGATCCTCGTATCTCCCCAGCAATATACAAAATCATCATTTATTAGGGTATTGGGAGGTGGCCATCTGAAACACTTACTACTACTTACTACTAATACTACATACATTTTTTTCAATGTTGTTCTTAAAAATCTTTATCTTTTCAGGTGAAGTTGATCTTAATTTGTCATTAGTTTATTTTTTTAAATAAAAAGACTTCAAAAAGTGACGCCCCACGTTTTCATATTACTTTCGAAACACAAAGAGTTTTAGTCCAAGGGTGGAGCCTTGTTTTAGCCACACCCCTTCATTATTAGAGCAGGAAGTATGCATCTCTGTCCCTCATGGCCACATGGTGAGCAGCAAGGTCCCATTGTTTTGAAGCAAATGTGTCCCAAAGTCCGGAAATCAGTGGGCAACCTTAAGAACTGTCCCCATGAAACACATTTTCTGCATGTAAACTTTTTTGTGTTTTTTATGAAAAATATTATGATTTTATGTGTGTACAACTGTTCAAAGCTGTGTTTGTCAGTCATGTCCTGGCTAGCGTTTTTGACTCAAAATTAGCTAAAATTGTCCCTACTGAAACATAATCACATTTGATAAAGTTACAGAGGTAATATTTTTGCATTGGTATTGACAAAATTGAATGTTTAGTCATTTATTTTAATAAAATTAACATAATTAATGTCTTTGATAATTCAAAATTTTTTGTCTAAAGTCAAAATAAGTTAAAAGTCCAAAATGTGTTTTCAACTGTGACTTTAAACCAATTTCCAAACCAATTTTGGCTCACACTGGATAGTTAAAACCACGAAAGGAAAGAAAATCCTCTTCTCACCAGAGTCTGACATCTCTGGACTGATGGAGTTGAGCAGGTCTTTCTCCCTCTCGTAGTCGTTCTTACACAGCAGCTGTCCGTCCTTCAGCACAAACTCATCCCCTTTACACAGCTGCCTCTCACACACACAGCAACAGAAGCAGCCAAGGTGATACACACTCTCCAGCGCACGCATCACAAACTCAGTGGGAGCGATTTTCTCCAGGCAGCCGCTGCACTTAGTGGCAAACAACCTGCAGGAAAAATGATGAGCGTAACTAAGAAGATCATAAATGTAGGTTTTAAATGGTACATTCACAAGGTGAAAGGTTATGCTGTGCCCTCTAGAAGAATAGACTGCAGTTATTTTGTATGTAAGAGCATTTAGATGTAGGGATGAGGGAATGTGATGATATTTCCTGTTATTTTGATAAATTATGTCACGTTACAGCACAAGAACAATATTCACTATTATAAACATCACCCAGTAAACTGTACACAGAACACTGAACAACTGCATGTTTCATTATTAGTATAATTAGGCATAATCATTAGTCCTGTTTAAATTGGATTTAGTGCAATTCATTATCAGAAATGTTAATAATGTATATATAGTGTCACTGTATTCTTTATTGTAAGTTTTCAGTTGTATTTTTTAATATGTGGCACTGCTGGTTCTTTTTTGTCTGTTTCAACAGATCAAACCTCAGAAAAACTAAACATCGTCATGAAAATGTCTTTTAAGTGCCACATTAATATATTTTTGACACATCACCCTTATTCAGAAGTTATGTAAAAGCACCAGAAGTCTGCAGTAACAAAGTACAATAGCTTCATTAGTCTGCTTAAGTATGATTTTGAGATATCTATACTTTACTTTTACTTTTTTTTATCTACTTAACTCTTGCATTTTTACTCTCTACATTTTAAAAAAACCCTTCTTTCTACTCACTACATTTAAAAACAGATGTTATTCTATAATGTACATAATTTTAGAAATCAGTGGTGCATCAGGCTTTTACACTTGTTTTTCACAGCTTTGTAGTTTAACTTGAGCAAAGAATGTACATGTAGCATTTTCAAATCTGTCTGCTGCAGTTTTGCATGTTCTAGAACCAGTCATATCACTAGACTAGGGCTTTTCAAGCTGGGAAAGAGGAAGGGGAAATAGAGTAAAGTGGAGGAATGAAGAGAGAATAAGATACAACACTTTGTTGTCTCTGAAACTTGTGTTGCATCACAGTAGCACCATTATATAAATGCTCACATCCACAAAAGCCAAAAAAAACTTGCACAAAGTATCGCATAACACCTTAGAACAATTCCGAAACAATACCCTTTATACTCTCCCCAAAGTCCAAACGCTCCCCCATTACCCCAGTGTTGCACAGTAAATATATATGTTGCTACATATGTACTTACAGATAAGGATTCTATACCAATAACCAAGGTTCTACACTAATATACCAATCAAAGCTCTTCCTAGAACCATGCATCCAAGTCAGGAACCATTTAGGAACCTTTCTTTTTTTCTTTCTAAGAGTGATGAGAAGCACGCTGAATAACTTCCTTCGCTAAACCCATTCAAGATGAGCCACTTTTTCTTCGGACACAAATCTGAGGATCTGTTTATCTCTCCACTTTTCAGTCTCCCTCACTTTCTTGTCCTTTTTTCTTTTGACGATGGGTGATAATCTCCTAAGCTGGAGCTCTTCTACTTCCTCTCTCTGTCACTGAGCATTATGCTTGTGCCAGTAATTCCCATGATCCCTTGAGAGATCTTCCTGTCTTCTATTGTGTGCGATGTCTAATCTCTGCCTTTTTTTTTTCTTACTCTTTGTTGAGAGGCCTGTGCAGCGCCTTAGTCACAGGATTGCGCACAGGACAGCCACGCGTGACGCTCGCGCCATGGTGACCCCACATTGGGGGTAACAGTGAAGAAGGTAGATGTTCTGGAATTAGTGATGAAAGAAAAAAAAAGTGACTCTGAGGGCTGAAATGGAGAAAAACATCTGCTTCCAGTTGATCACTGTTGGCTGGGCTTATGTCACAGTGCTGCATGTGTGTGTTTTTTAGTGTTTTTAGAGCTATTTCAATGTAAAAATCTCCTGATTTTTGCAAAACAAAATGAGAAACAGAATTAAACAATGTCAGGTTGACAGCGATGGTCCTGACTTTGTAAAGTGCTTTTATACTCGCAAAACAAAAATGAAAAAACAATACATTCTGTCTTTAAATACACACATCAGTGTGTTCAATTAAGGACAACAGATTTTGTGTTTATTTTAACACAGCATGTGTTGAAACAGAGGCAAGTGTGTTGTTATTCAACACATCACTTTTTAGATTACTTGCTTGCTGGAAAAGACTCTGTTATCTCTGTTTAACTGTTGCCTGTGTACCTGTTCCTTCTCCATCTCTCTCTCTCTCTCTCTCTCTCTCTCTCTCTCTCTCTCTCTCTCTCTCTCTCATGTACACATGCATACACCACACATAAGCTATATATAGTACATATGGGGCATCAGTTACTGATGCATGTATAATAGACAGGCTGTGTGTACATATCACAGCTGTCAAAAGAAAACCTTGTATCTCCATTCTTGTTGTTTTTCAGTTTTTGCAATAATTTGAAAATGCCTGTTGCCCTTTACATTATGTGTATATTTCATGAAGAATAGACCAAAAGAAAAGTGTGTGTGTGTGTGTGTCCAAACTGACTTTGACTGGCACATTCAAGGTGTGTGGTTGAAACTAATCCCTCTTTAATACCACTAAGGGGGCCCTGAGGGAGAGAAAGCTTTCACAGCTAGTCAAACACACTTAGTAAAACCTGAGAATATGTGATCTGTGTGAGTGAGTGTGTTTGTGGGGGGAGGTGGGGTGTCACATGGCTTGTGTTTGTTTGCTATAAACCCATTCAAAATTACTTGTCTATTCTTTGCTGCCACCAGTGTTGTTTGGTACGGAGGCCATGGCTTGTGCTTATTTTTAGAACTTTCTTTCTAAGAATTCCTAAAAGACTTATATATGTTTTGCTTTAGAGTGTCCAAATTCTTGTAAAGGAAGTTATAAACAGAACTGCATGTATGTATTGTCTGGCATGGCCATCATACGTATACCGAATCCAGTTGTGAAATGCATTTTACACACAGATGTGTCCAATCTTAGTGGTTAAGCGATTTGCTATAATTATATTCTTTTTTTGGTCTACTCTTTGATGCTGCATTGTGGACCTACTGGCCTGCTGGAGCCCAGTACCTCTGTGTGTATGTGTGTGTGTGTGTATGTGTGTGTGTGTGTGTGTGTTCCACATCCACGTAAAGCAGAAGCATGTGCGCTACAAAGGAGCTAAAGATGTCATTAAACCCAGCCGCTTCAAACACAGCCTTTCTTCTGATGGGCTGCCTAGCACTGAGATACACTCTGCATGGAAAATACTCTGTGGCTCATAAGGGCAGTTTTTGCACACACATACACACATATATATACACATGCCAGATTAGATTTTTCCACAGCAACTGCATCCTGACTTTGTCAAAGAGTTGGGGACAAGCCACATCCATCCTGCTCATGGAACAGTAAAGCTCATTAAATCAAAGTTCTCTGATGGTTTTATTTTAAGATAAGGCACTGGAAACCTTATTTCAACTTTACAGTACATAAAAAATCATGCTCAGAAAACTTAGCTTCCGTTCTACAGCAGCCACATAGGTATTTGTGCCATTCTTAAAACTAGATTAAGTCCATTATTAGGAAACAAAATGTCAAATCAAGTGCCATTTATTTTATCATTCCATGGCTGTTATTTTCTTTATGGCAAATTATTCTTTCAAAATGCGGCTGGTGTTTCAGATAGCTACCATTTCTTTGCAGACTTCTGCGGTTTTGCATCCATAATGTCTTGGTACATTTCTGAGTTCATAATCCCACCAGTGAATATAAGCAGTACTCAGTATATGTACACATATGCTACCATTCAAAAATTCGGGGTCACTTGTCATGATAATAATTGCTATTCAGTAAAAAATCACACAGTTTACATTGAAATGTTATAAACCACACAAAAAAAAAACCTAAACCAATACTTTATTCACAGTTTACAGTATTTTTGGAACAACCTAAAGTTAGAACATGGTAAAAAAATTTAAGTCTTATTAACTATAATTTTCTGTTTATTGGAATTTGTTGTCACAAAAATATGAGTATTGTGGATGTTAGTTTCCTCCCACAGACCAAAGACATGTTGTCAGGTGAGTTGGAGATGCTAAATTGTGGTGAATGTGTATGTCTGTTTGTCTGCCCTGCGATGGACTGGTGACCTGTCCATGGTGTTTCCTGCCTTCCTAGCCGATGGGGATAGGCTCCACTTTCTGTTGGGAGTTGGCTGTCCCAAGCCTTAATTTCAACTTGCGGAAAATATACTTATATACTTTTTTTTTGATTGTTTAAATGCTGGAACTGAGGTATAGTGAAAAATAAATGCTACTGTTTATTGGTAGTTCCAGATAGATTTAGTCATATGTGTGCTAATTATAAGCAAAGTTAACAAGTCAAAATGTGTATTTGTATTTTTAAAATGCAAATTTGAGATATTCTGTGCATATATGGCGTACAAGACTATAAATAATTATGTGCACTATGTTCACTGAGCACTACTTTTAGTTGTTAGGTAAAGATACTGGAGATTATTGCATTTTAATGACACTCGATTACTGTAAATGTACAGCAGAATGCAACTACAACATAGTAATATTGTGTAGTTGACTCTGGAGTCATGATGTTAAACTGCTATTTTGCTGTTTTTGCTGTTAACCTGGTGTAGTAAATTACTGTGAAAGTCATGCAAGCCAGTAAAAGTAATGTGAAGGTAATGCATGCCAGTAATTTACTATAATTTTACAGTGAAAGTTTTTACAGTGTACATAATAACCAATAATATCATGTTTCACCTGCTCCTCCCACCAACTTCAACAACCACCAAGCGAAAACGCCTAACCACCTCAGAGACCCTCAGTGATACTGATTTCCACTCATAAACACGCACATTATGAGTTTCAATTCACGTTGACTGTAAGTGGTGCATATCATTGTGACCAATTGCAGTTATCTAAAATGATGTTGTGCACCCAGGAAAAAAAAGGAAACTCCATTCGTAAACCAATCACTTAACATTCGTACGACAGACCCTCATCCACCACAGTAGGACGCCATTAACCACACAAGCTAATTGTTGTTCTTCTATCTCTCTTCAGAG